GGTCCCGGCGGGGATGCCACTGTCGCGGGGGACGGTACCCATGGAGTGGGGTGCCTTCGGGCTCTGCACCCCAGGAGTGCGCACTAGGGCTGGGGATCCACCTGCATCCCCTCCCCGGCTCCACCGATGCCCAAGGGGAGGGAGGTAAGGTGGGGCCGCCTGCCTTCCAGAAAGAGGCCCCCCAACACTCACCACCCCTGTCTGTCTCCATCTCCCCCGGGTGGCTGGCAGCTCCCCTCCGCCTGCTCCCAAATTTGTGCGCTGCAGACAGCCAGGGGTTAACCCTGGTGCTGATGTGAGTGGGGGGGTCCCCCGCCCTTCCCCCTCCCTCCAGCCCCTTTAAATATAATTTGTTAACGTTGGGACTTGTATTAATTAAAGCGGCAGCCGATGCAGCCTGTGACCTGGGGGCTTGTCACCGTGAAATCAAGTTTAAATCCAGATTTCAAGGGGGAAGAGAGCTGAGGGGAGTGATGTGTCCTCCTAAGGAGGGTGACAGTGACAGCTCCTCGCTGGTCCCTGGCTCCCTTGAGCCCTGGGTGGAGCAAGAGGCAGAAGGACCTGCCCTCCGCTCTCTGGGGTCCTGGACGAGGGCCCCTGCCTCAGTTTCCCTGCTGTGCAATGGGGAGGACCATAACACACCCCCGGGTTGCCTTGGGAGAAGGTGGCAGGCGCTGTGGCTGGCTCAGGACAGGCAGGGCACAAGGTCCCCACAGAGCTTGGAGCAGGAGCGGCTGGCTGGGCTTTGGGTTGATGGTAGCTGTGGACCTGCTGTTCATCTCCTCTCAGCCAGGGCTTGCTTCGATAGTCTGAATGAGCACAGGAGCCGGGCAGAGGATTTGCTCTCCTGTGTAGGGGCTTTGGAGGGATGCAGCCCTTTCTGCCCTCCTTCTCTCCGCTGCCCCCCACCCCGACTCTCCCTGTTGGAGTCACTATGGATTTGCACTGGGGGAGACCCACATATCACCCGTGGAAGTGGTGGGGTGGGTATAAACACCCTTGAGAAGCTGTAGAAAGCAGCAGCCTGACCCTGACAGCTCCCCTTCCCCCCTGATCGAGTTGTAATTCAGCAGGGACATGGGGGCAGAGCCCTTCCTCCAGAGCTGGCTGAGCACGGCCCCTGGGAGGTCAGTCCCTGGTCCCCAAGAGCTGCTTCTGTCTATGTAACTGCAACAGGCTCGCAGGATTTCGGGGAGCAGAGGGGGAGTAACCCTTCTTCCCAAGACCTGGCTGCTCCATAAGGCAGCTGCAGTCGTTCCTCGAGCATCCTTCTCTAAGTCTCAGTTCTGTTCTCAAGGTTCAAAGGGCTCCAGCTCCCTGCTCCTCCCAGGGACCCAGTTCTTGGCCATCCCGGGGAAGAAGGAGCTCTGCCTGGTAAGAGCTCTCAGCAGGGACTGAGCTGTCCTGACCAAGCAGCAGGGCAGTGCTGAGCTCCTGATGGACCCTGCTGCAAGCTGCAGGATGCTCCTGGGCATCCTGCTGCCTACTGCTCACTTTGCAGGTCCTCTTCTTGGACGCTGTGGATCCCAGGATCCTTCAAGCCATTCCCTGGAGCTGGGCAGACACTTCCTCCCCTTTCGTCTCCCTCTCCGCATCCATCTGTCCTAGGTACCACTGTCTTAGCTCCGAGCACCTTTCTCTGGACACGCTTTGTCCATCTCCCCACACTCCATCTACCTCCCTGTTTCCCCAGGCAGCATCTCTACTTGTATAAGTACTTGCACCCCGACCATGGACCCTGTGCCTTCCCTTGCACCCATCCATCTGCTGGTCTCAGGCATCAGGTCTGGTGGGGTCGGGATGTGATGGTGGATTTGGGATGGTTGCTGGGAGCTTGAGGGTGTTCGGCAGGGTGCTTGGCTCCGAATTTCCCAGCTGAGCTGGCAGGAAAAGGCTGGTCCCACTGGTTACCTCCCTTGTGAGGACCAGCAGTGCCAGCGGGACACAGGAGGTGCAAGGAGGGGATCAGCCAGCAACAGGGATGGAGCCGGACCTGGGATGGGTCTCCTGCTCCTGGGTGTCTGGATTCTCCCAGGGGGAAACCCACGCTCTCTGGGGAAGGCGAGCCAGGGCAGTCTGTGCCTGAGACTCTGCACTGCACAGCTGGGACAGAAGAGCCCTGGAGGAGCATGCTGAGGGGGTGCAGCCCTGGGAGATGCTGGGCTGCTGCTGGGCACAGGCTGCCGAGGTCTCCAGGCTGTGCTGACATGACTGGAGAGGGTTGCGGTCCCGGTGCCACTGGGGCATCTCTGCCAGGCTGAGCTTGCCATTGTGCCCGGGGATAGGGGGAAGAGGGGCAGTTTTGGCCCTGGGACGCCCCCCCCCGAGATTTGGAGCTGACCCTTTCCAGTGCCCCTCATCTTTTCTCGTCCTTTCCAATCCCAGCCTGCCCTGGTGTGTCACCCCTGCAGGCAGTGGGCACGGTGTGGGGAGAAGAGCATCTCCCCTCCCTGTGTGTTCCTGAAGGGGAAGCGAGCGGTCCGCATATCACTTGCTTTGAGCCCACGGGTTTGTTTCCCTTTCTCTCCCAGCTCCTGCTCCAATGAGATCCTGGGCCTGAAGCTGCCGTCGGAGCCGGTGCTGAACGCCAACACGGTGTGCCTGACCCTGCCGGGACTGACACGGCGGCAGCTGGAGGTGTGCGTGCGCCACCCCGACGTCACTGCCTCGGCTATCCAGGGCATCCAGATTGCCATCCACGAGTGCCAGCACCAGTTCCGGGACCAGCGCTGGAACTGCTCCAGCCTTGAGACCAAGAACAAGATTCCCTACGAGAGCATCATCTTCAGCAGAGGTAAGGGCTGGATGGCCTCCTTCCTCTTCCTCTCCCTCTGCCTGGTCACTGATCTCAGGAGCCCTCATGGGCTCCCCATGGGCTCCTGCACAGCTTTTCCCTGGCCCAGGGGACCAGGCCAGCTCTTCAGCATCCCCATGGATGAAGACGGACAGAGCCTGAGAAACCTCATGGTCTGCCAGACCAAGCAGCACTGCCCTGTGGCAAAGCTGGGCTCTTTTCCACGTACCTTTGTACCTATGCTGGCCCTTGCCCTGATCTGCTCCTCCCTGCCCAGCCCCAGCTGCTCCCAAGGCTCCTTCCAAGTCCTACTGCTTTCTGGCATCTTCTCCCCCATGCAACGCAAGCTGGTGTTTGGAGTGGTGCTATGGGTGTATGGCACAGTTGGTGGGTCTGAAGGTGGATGCTGTGCTCTGGGATTCAGTTTGGTGGATGCAGTGAGCATCTTTGGTGTTTCAGTGCATCATGGTGAGCAGAAATGTCCCTAGCTAATGGGACGTAGCTCTGTGAGCCTATCACCCTGGCATCCTGCCTTTGTGTTGGGTCCCCAGTGCAGAGAGCTGAGGACTCTCTGCTTTGTGGGACCCTGGAGCGTGGTGGCACAGGGTGGGGGGGGGAGCGGGGGGCAGAGAGACAGGCTGTCTTGGGAACTCATCTGCCCACAGAGCCCTCACCTGCACTGCTGGGAGAACTCTCCTAGCCCTCCATGATCTGCCAAGTCCCGGTGCTAGAGTCTCCTCGTCTCCTCCACAGGCATGGCCGGCTCTGCGTCTATCAGAGCCTCCCCGGTTGATACTGAGGAGGTTCCCTCAGGAGTGGACTCTGAGAGTGCAGAGGGGCTGCCCTGCACAGTGCAGATTAGGGTTGTGACCTGATGAGACCTTCTATAGGACTTGAATGTATCTTCTCACCTAAGTACCCTCTTGAAGCCTGGACCTTGGCAGACACTGGAAGTCCTGTTGCCCCAGGCTGTGGGCAGGAGAGAACTATGTGGTGCCAGTGGCAAGCAGGCAGGGTGCTGAGGGCAGGCAAGGTGCCCGGCAAACACATCATTCCTCCAGCTCCTGAGGAAGGAGAAAACTACCAGATGGTGCTCACCTACCTGCCTCCTAGCCTGGTGCCCAGCAGAGAGGTGTCTCTGTCCCTACTTCCCCAAACATCCTTCCATGCCCTGCAACATCTCTCTGGGATTGCGAGGAGAGTCTCACAGAGGAGAGGTTGGCAGCTTGAGTTGTACATGCTTTTGAAGGGACGCGGTGGCAAGACCACCCAGGCAGCTGTCGCAGGTGGGGAGATGGCTGGAGAGGGAAGCACAGAAGCATTTTGGTGCTGGGAGGTCCTTTGGGTCCAGAGCAGATGGGCCAAGCCTTGCCGGAGGAGATGCTACCTTGGAGCATGTGTGGCATCAGGCCTGCGGTCCTGCTGTGGAGCAGCCGCTGGTGCCTGGAGAAGGGCAGCATCTCTTCCCTCCGTGAGCAGCACCTAGGTTAGGGCCTGGCAGGGAGGGTGGGGACCGTCAGCCCTGATAAGCATCGAGGTATTTCCAGGTCCTCTGAGGAATGCAATTCACTTCTAGTCTCCTCAGGCGGCGGGAGACACTGACTTGCTGGCTCAAGTTGCTCACACACCCAGGCGAGCTTCCCTGCTCCAGGTCCCACCAGGCTGGGTGAGGAGCTCCAGCAGCAGAGAGCATTGACCTTCTGCATCCCTCCCTCAGCCCACCAAGTTTGCTGGTGGCCGGTGACTTGCAGCTCACCTGTCTCAGGTGCCACGAGAGCCCTTCCCACTGTCAGGGCCATGACTGATGGATACGGGGACTCCCGCAGCCCCTGGACTCTTACCCCAGCCCTGAGCTCTTGGGTATGGCTCAGCCCAGGGTCCCAGCACTGGTGGGATCCCATCCCCTGGGATGGAGACCCAGCACTGGGGAAGGATGGAGGTAGGGTTGGTGCAGCAGAGCAGATGGGCGCCTCACAGCACCCCTCTTTCGGCCGCAGAGAGTGCAGGATGAGCCCCAAGCACTCAGGCCATACCATGCGGTTGCTCAGAGCCGTTCTGGCATGGAGCACGCCTTGAGGCTGGTGCCCTGGCCTGCTTCCAGTCCACTCGTGTCCCTCAATAACAGAGCCGGAGCTCCGAGCTCCACCTTGCAGCTGTTACGGATACGATCATCAGAGCAGGGATGCTGGGTGCATCTCCCGAGCCCAGCGCTGGAGGAGAGGCGAGTGGTGGAAGCGAGGGGTGCAGGTTCCATGCCGCAGGCATTAGTGCATCTCACCTCCCGGGACCAGGTCTCTGCTCTTCGCCCTGCCCCATCCTTGCTGTGCCTGGGAACGCAACGTGCTCGTAGGATCATTGTTTGTAACCCGAAGTGACAGACCCCTTTAATCTTTCATTCCTTTTCCCACTTCTTCTGCCATCAGTTCAGCCGTGCGTGAATTTTACTTTAAATTATTTGTAGCTGGCTTCTCCCTCCCGCTGTCCGCGTCTGGCTCCTCTCCTCACCTCCGCCCCGTCCTCCTGCATCTCTCACATCTTCCCCAGCGCAGGTATGAGCCGTCTGAGGTGCAGCACCGGCTGCCCGTCCCATGCTCTGCCCGGCATCCAGGTGCTTGGTGGAGCCAGATGGTTTATACTGGGGAGACAGAGTAGGGGACAGTGGCAAACAAGTGCCTGTCTCCCCATCCCACTGATCTGATCCCAGAAGTTTGAGGGCAAGCCCTGGGGAGCCAGGAAGGAGAGGGGAGGCTTCAAATCGGGCAGGGCTGGGAATCTGGCAGGGCTTCTGGGCAGCACAGCTGGGGACAGGGATCCTGAGAGCATCCTGGGCAGAGCAGAGACCTGCCGGGTGCGGGAGGGAGATGCATCCGTCCCTGGGGTGCAGGGCACAGCGGCTGCCAGGCGCAACAGGCTAGCAGAGGGTGAGCAGAGGGGGTGCCCAGGGATTTACCACCCCTGCTCTCACAGACCACCACACCCCCCTTTTTTTTTTCTTTTTTTTTTCTCCAGACAGTCCCACGGGTCTGGTTTTGGTTTTTGATCCCTTGGGATGTGGGGTGTCCCTTGTACCCCTTGCTGAGCCTCCAGTGCCATCTGCAACCCCCATCCTCCTTGGCCCCCATCCTCTCCGTGTGCATCCAGGCTCAGCATTGGCATTGCAAATCCTCCTCCTGTCCTCCCTGGCTCCTCAGCTGGCTGCCTACATCCTTGCCACCCTCCTGCCCATTCCGTGGCACTCGCCACCCCTCTCAGCACCCTCCAGTCCTGTCCCTGGTCCCAACCTTCTCTGTTGTCCCTCCCTCTCCCTCCAAGTGCTGGCAGAGACATCCTCTCCTGGCCCCAGGGGAATATGTAGGAGGACAGAGCAGTGAGGTGAAGGCAGGTGGCATCAGTAACTGATACAGGTCCCCTGCTCCTGCTCCAAGGGTGAGCAGCATGACCAATGCCCACCTCACTGGAGAGAGTGGCGCCCAGTATGTAAGTCCCCCCAGAGCATCTATGGGCTGCCGGGCGCTGTGTGTCTTGGCCAGGCTGGACCATGCTTGGGTGTGTGCCAAAAATGAAGCTGCGGATGGTGGTGGGTCACCAAGCCCTTGTTCTTGTCTGGTACGCGTGCACCCACGGGTGGGTGCGATGCCAGCAGGGCTGTGACTGTCCGGCTGTCAGGAAGGGTCTGTGTGAGGTGTGCTGAGGGATCCCTTTTCCCTGAACATTCCCCTTTGCTCATCCCAACCTGATCTATATGCACCTCTGAAAGAAGTGGGACCCTCAGGGAGGGACCAGGTGCCCTTGAAGGCACCCAAGGGTGCCCAGCTGGAGGAGACATGGCTCTGGGGTGCAGCATCCCGCTGTTCCTCCTGCAGCCTTTGGAGGGACGGGTGATGCTTGCATGCCCCGTGCCCTCCTTAGAAGGGCTCCCTGGTGCCAAGGGGCCTGGGTGGCCACGGGCAAACCTCAATTTTGTACAGCAAGAAGGGGGGAATTCCCTGCAAGGTTGAAACGTCAGGTGCTGGGGCCCAGCCAGCTGCGAGCTGGAGTCTGGGGAGGCTTTTCTGTGTGGGGAAGGAGGCAGGTGCTGTTATGGATATCCAGGGAGATGCTGCCAAGCTCAGGACCCCGGCACCCAGTTCTGCAGAGCCCCAGCCAAGCTCCGATGCCCACAGACCGCAGCGCCTGGCCCGGTGCGCGTGCAGCTGGGCTGCTGGCAGGGTTTTCGGTACCCCCAGGCAAGCCAAGGGCTTTGCCCACCTGGCCTTGAAGCACATGTGGGTGCTTCGGATGCTCAGCTGCATCCCTGTGGGTGTCCCCATCCCCTGGACCTTCCCCCAACTGATGGTGGCAGGCGAGACCCTGGGGTCAGGGCAGCATCCCTGGGGATGCGGGGCTGAGCCCGGCTCCCGGCAGCCCACAGAGCAACTCAGGCTGCCGGCTCGGAGCGCCGTGGGCGGACGGGGAGCGAGGGCTGCGGGCTGTCCCCGGCACGCTCAAGGAGGTGCAGGGAGGCAAGTCGGGATCTGCAGGGAGGCGTTTAGCGCCTGGCGCCGGGCCAGACCCTGGCAGGTTCACCTGCAGTTTAATTAGGGAGAGGGGAGGGGAGGGAACGGGGCTGGGGGAGACCACTGGGGCCGGGAAGATGTGCGGATGGCATTATCGGGGGTGTTGCCCATGGAGGGGGTGGCTGAGCATCCCTGGGGTACCCCAGGTTGCGCCTGGACCAGGCTGTCCCACCTGCTCCCTCAGTGCCACCTGGGTGCTGCGGTGGTGGGTGCTGGGAGGCCATTACTGCCCAGGTGTCATGGTGAGCCATGGGAGGAAGGCCATCACTCCAGCTCTCCCTACCCAAGCAGACCGTGGAGCCCACAGCCGTGCCAGAGCCGGGTCCATTGCCCTCATCCTACAGCCGCATGAGAGATGGAGAAACTGCAGCATCTGTGGTAGAGCCAGTGCCAGCTGGGGCTTGGGGTCCTGCTAAATGGCTCCCCATCTCCTAGATGCATCTTGACAGGGAAAATTTTCCCTTGCTAAGAAAACCCTTTTGGGATCTGACTTGGGGCTGAGATTTGAGATCCATCCTTCTTGCCCAGCGCAGTCCTTGAAGTACACAGAAGGCTGGATGCTGGCGGTGGTGTCAGGGTGGTGTCCCCCATTCCCTCTTCCCTGCAGGAGGCAATACTTCTCCTCACACCTCCCGCGGCTACAGCCTCTTCTGCTGTCTCTGGAGGGATCTGGTGACTCAGACATCACCGCTGAGGTCTTAGGTAGCAGGGGTAGCCAGAGAGCCTTCCTCCGAAGGGCTCGGGGCTGGCTACCACACGCCGGGCTCGGCTTTGTGGTTCCTGGAAGCTCCCACCCTTGCTGAGCCCATGAGGCTGGTGGTTGTCGCCTGCAGCCACATTGCTCGTTGCTTTGCTGCAATCCTCCGGGCTCTGGTGTGGCCAGGGTAGAGCGAGGAATGTAAACTGAACCTCCAAGCAGAACCGCGCTGGCACGGCTCTTGTGATGCCAGCGCTGCCCTGGTCCCCTTCTCCCCATTGCTCACAGCTCCCCATCAATGTGGGGTAAGGGAAGGAGGTGAGAAGGCAGGGAGGCGTGTTGGGGCCAGGCAGAATGATACTGAGCAGGGAAATGACCACAGTGAGATGGGGACAAGAATTCCAGAGTGCTGGGATGTCAAGTCCTGGGGACCAGCCGGTCCCCTGCCTGCAGCCTGGGGGGCGGCAGCTCCAGGGACGAGGACCTGTGTCTCATCCATCAGGTCATGCGTGGCTGGAGAGAAGTGGAGGAAGGAGGGGGGCTGGGGCTTGACCCCAGGGGTTTCCCAGCCGTGGAGGGCACCAAACGAATCCTACCTCTTTACCTATAAGGAGACGGGCTTGCTAGACGGACTGGGTGGGGTAGAGCTTCTGTCTGGGCTCCAGAAGGGATTTTAAGGAGATGCTGCATGGGAAATTGTTTGTTAGGCTGGAGAAATATGTGAGAAAGAGACTAACGGAAAGGCAGGGCCGAAACGAGAGTGTCGCAGCGGGTGGAGGGTTTGCTGCCGCCATCCCTGGGCACCGGCTGTGCGAGGAGCTGGGGACACCAGGCGGGGTGGCAGCGACAGGTCCCTGCTCTTAGGCTGCGCCGTGCTTTGACTCATCCCACGTTGTGAGAATGGAGAACTGATACAGGGAGTATTTGGGGGTCCTGGAGACCTTCTCGTGCTGGTTCTCCATCCCGCATCGCTCACGTGGGGGCTGAAGTTCTCCAAATTTGTGCTGTCCTGCTGTAACAGCGATGTGGGTGTGTTGCAGGCGCTGCCTGCCAGTGCTCTCCCCGGGGAGGCTGCGCAGCGTATGCACCAGCAGCCCCATTACCTGCCCGCTGAAAAATGTTGTTCAACTTGTGCATGGAAAGAGGCAGGCTGAGAGCAAGCTTGTCCCACACCGAGGGGAAGCTGGGAGAGGCTCCTGCTGGCTTTTAAGCAGCGCCTCGTTAATTTTTTAAATGCACCAGTGTCAAATTAACACACAAAAGAGCAGCGTGACTTTAAATGCAGGTTTCCGAGCTGCGTTTCATTTCCCTTTAATAAGATCATAGCGTTTACTCGGCGGGCGGCAGCGAACCACCGAGGAGACATGCGTGATGGGGAGCATCGCTGAGGACGGGCGACAGCGGTGGGGAGCGGTTGCGGTCCCACCTCTCGTGACTCTGCAGCACAGGCAGGAAGCTGGCAGAGCCCCCGGCCGGGATCCGTGCTTTGGGGTGCTCACCCAAGCCCCCCTTTTGATGGCAGGGATCTGGTGGAGAAAACGCTCCAAAAGCTCTCGTCTGCTCAGCCGCAGGAAAGCCAGGGCTGATCAAGCTGCTCTTGTCCAACAGAGGGAGAGAGGCTGGTGAACTCCAGCTATTTGTTTATTCACGTGTGAAGCCAGGGCACAAAATCCGGCTCTCCCTCCTTCCCCTCTTCGTGCTGGGGCCGGTCACTGTGCACCGAAGCGAAGGGCACTGTGGGCTCCCCGCTTGGCCCGGCACCCACAAAGCAAAATACTGCTTTGCATTTAAAATAAAGTAGAAGTTCCCAGGTGGGGGAGGCTCCTCACCCAGCTGCAGTGAAGCCGAGCGGCCCTGAGGCAGCCCCCGCTCTCGGCCCCGCGGAGCCCCTACCGTGGGACCCGTCCCTGTCCCCGTCTGCCCCATCCCCAACTAATGACACTTGCGGACGTCCTCGCTCCCCGGCGTTTAACGACAACCAGCTGCCGGCCCTGGCAGCGCGCGGTGCGGTCGCGGCATGCTCTAACTAACTAGGGGATGCTTGATTTTTCCAGCACGGTATCGCGTTTTAGAGCTTCTTGTGGGAGCTGCAGGGGCTCGGGGAGGGAAGGGGCATGGGCAGACAGATGGGGCTGGGCAGGCAGTGCTGCCCGCTCCTCTTACTGCCTCATCCTGCACCCTGTGGGGAAGCAGAAATAGCCTATTCCTCAGCAGAAGTATTCCTCAGCCAGCGTTATATTTAATATAGTGGGAAACTCTGAGTGCGGGGAGGGGAGGGGAGGAGATACTGCCTTTCCCATCAGAGCCATAACGCTGATGCCTGAGCAATGCTGTGGTGGCATCTCCCAGGGTGATGGTGGGAGCTGGGATCCCGGCCAGGGCAGGGCTGGGCTTCAGGGCAGCAACGTGTCCTGGTGGGGATGGGGCTGGAGAGCACCAAGTGAGGATTTGCTCATGGCACAGGTGGGAGCTGGAACAAGGCAAGGCACAAGCTGAACCTCAGGCTCCCTGCACCGTGGCGTGGCGGTGGGCTCATCCAGCTCCCCACGAGGGTCCCGCCGCCCAGCCTAAGCCCCGCTTTCTCCTTCCTTGCAGGCTTTCGGGAGAGCGCCTTCGCCTATGCCATCGCGGCCGCCGGCGTGGTGCACGCCGTCTCCAACGCCTGCGCCCTCGGCAAGCTGCAGGCCTGCGGCTGCGACCAAAAGCGCCGGGGGGATGAGGAGGCTTTTCGGCGCAAGCTGCACCGGCTCCAGCTGGAGGCCATGAACCGCGGCAAAGGCATGGTGCACGGAGTGCACATGGAGCACATGCCGGCCGAGACCCCCGGCCTCCAGGACTCCTGGGAATGGGGAGGGTGCAGCCCCGATGTGGACTATGGGGAGAAGTTTTCCAAGGATTTCCTCGACTCCCGGGAAACCTACAGGGATATCCACTCCCGCATGAGGCTGCACAACAACCGCGTGGGCCGGCAGGTGAGCAGGGCTATGGGGCGATGGTGGTGGGGACAGTGTCCCCAGGGCACGCGTGGGAAGGCTGCGAGGGGCTCGTGCTGGCTGTGGTGGGACACGCGTGCGAGGCTGGAATTGCCTCCCAGACCCCCCCTCTCCCCAGTTTTGCCCAGAGCAAAGGCAGTGAGGCAGCCCTGCTGCTGAGCATCTCCGCTGGGGAGAGCACCTCCAAGCATCACTGCTGTCCCCCTGCTAAGGGACACTTCCCCAGGCTGCTGTCACCTGCCTGCGCTGCAGCGGTGCTACGGGGGTGGCATAGCAATGAGTCCAGCTCCTGCCTCTCAGGGACTGGGTGGACTGGTGTTGGGCAGCTGCAGCAGCAGAGAGCTATGGTCAGGGAAGAGAAAGTCACCGGCATCATGTGAGAAGGCAGATGCTGCAATGCACTGTCCCCAGCGAGGGGACACCACAGGCTCTGCTGCACCCAGCTGTGGTTCTGCCTCCGAAGAGGGAGCCGGTGTCCCAAGGAGGCAGATGTGAGTGGGACCGAGCCAGGCAGAGGGCGCCTGTGCCAGCTGGGAGGTGCAGCATCCCCTCGGGAGCTGAGGTGACAGCCCACAGCCTTGTCCCCTGGCTCCGGGGGGGGGTGCTGGAGCCTGCCCAGGCGAGCAGGGCAGCCTCCCCTCCATTCTTATGATGTCAGGTCTCGTTAAAGGTGCTAATTAGTAGTTCGCTGTCTCTGGAAGCTGATGTTTAATAGCAGCCTGACATTGGAGACAAGAAGAGCATGGGCAGGAGGGGTTGGGAGGACAGCTGCCTTTCCCTGCCTGCCTTTGCTCCCAGCAGGTGCCGGGGAGACCCCGTCCCATGGATCCAGTGGGACACTTGTCCTCAAGACCCCAAGCACACACTGCCAGGGCGGCACAGAGGGGTGTGAAATGGCTGTGGGAATAAGTAATTAGAGATCAGAATGACACAGGGAGTGTTTCCCCGGGATGGCTCAGACTTGTGGATGTGCCTCTTGCTTTGAGCATGTTTAAAGGCAGCTATGAGACGGGGACGCTGCAGAGCAGGGCCTTGACGTGTGCCTTTCCCTGGTGCCGGAGCTGAGCTTTACGGCCCTGAAAAGCCATCCTAGTTTGGCCAAGCTGTAAATGCCTGGGGAAAGCCAGAGCTTTTTGCTTGTTTGGCTTTGTTTGCGTGTGGTAAAGGCTCGCTGAGCGTTAGGCAGCTAGATCCTCCACAGGCTGCTCTGCCCCAAGCCAGGCAAGACCTCTGTCCCACCACTGGCTGCAGGGCTCATCCGGGCTCCCCTCCTGCTCTGAATGCCCCAAACCACTGGAGCTCTTGGCAGCGCTCAAAAAATTCAGGTCTGCACTGCCCATTTCCCAAGGGAAACCCCACAGCCCCCTGCAGAAGGAGGGGAAGGTGAGAGAGGCACATCTGCATGGGGGGGGAGGTGTCACCATGCGATGCCTTCGGGATCCGGCAACAGCAAAAATATCTGGGGTCTGTTTGTCCCCCAGTGCAGGCAGGCGTGGGACTGGCAATGGCATTGTCAGCTCTTGGTGGCTTCAGAACAAAGAGCTGACTGATGGAAGAAGGCTGGGAGCTGGCAGCAGAGGCAGAGGAGGACCGAAGGGATAAAGGAGGGGATGGTACCAGCTGCGGGTGGGGAAGCGGTGGCCAGACAGACTGCCCAGCTCGGGGATCCTGTTGAATTGAGGGCGTGAGCCTGTGTGCAGGTCAGGTTGTGATGGTTGTGGGTGCCATGCCTGGGAGCAAGGAGATGATGCTGTGCCTGGTCTGTGCCTGTTGGTGCCATGCTGGGCCATCCACATTGCCTGGGGTTGGGTTCTCCAGCTCCCCGTCCTGCTCTTTTAGCAACACCGTGGGTCTCATACCCACCCAAGCCCTCCTCACTCCTAGGACCATCTTTCTACTGTAATAAGGAGCAATGTGCTGGGATTTCCTAGGAAATGAGTGGCTGTGCTGGATGCAGCGGTTCTGTGGTCGTCCCTTCCAAGTTCCAAGGCTTGAACCCCTTGAGCAGAGCGGTGATGTGGATGTGCACACCACATGCCGTGCCCTGCCACATTCTGTCACTCTCTGCACCGAGCAGCTGCAGCACCCAGGGCTCTCCAGCATCTCACTGATGCTGAGCATCCTTTCCGTGGTCCCTGTGTCCCCCAAGGGTTCTCTGTGCATGGTTAAGCCTGTCTCTTGACTAAGACCCTGCATAGCTGGGAGGAGGTGACAATCCGACCGATGGTCACATCCAGTGACCATTGGATGTGGGTTTCTGTAGTGTAGTGGTTATCACGTTCGCCTGACACGCGGAAGGTCCCTGGTTCGAAACCAGGCAGAAACACTCTGTTTTTTTACTCTTTTGCATCCAGCTACAAAGCCATGGAGGGAATTGCAGCTGCAGCAGCTGTGCAGCATCCTCTGATGGTGGCAGTGGTCTTGAGTTGGAATAGGAAGCCCAGGACTTCCTATTCCAACTCATGACTCGGGTGGGTGTCCTGCATCCCTGGGAGGGAGCAAGCTCCCCATTGAGGAGCAGCAGGAGCGTGCAAGAGGCTTTGCAGGTCCTCCTAACCCGCCAGATCACAGAGCAAGAGAGGATGAAAGGCAGCCAGGAACTACCCATTACCCTCACAACAAAGACCTACGATAAAGCTCTTATGAGCGTGTCTGGGAGGAGCTGGGAATGTGCGAAAGAAAGCACCAGCGAGTCCAGGCATGTGCCGAACCCGGGTGTCTGTGAGATGGGGGAAGGACGTGGCCGGGTAGGGGTGTGTGGCAGTGATCAGATGGCAAAAGCATGGGGTCAAGGCTCAGATGGGTCCTTCTCAGGTGTCCCAGCTCTGGCAGGGTCCTGTTCCCCCTGAGCTGCCCGTGTAGGAGGGAGCACAAGCTGTCCCTGGGCAGACAGAGATAGATGGATGGATGGATGCTGCAGTGCTGGGGCTTGGGATGCTCAGTGGTGATGGCTTGGGTGATGGAGGTGGCACACACACACTGCTTTCTCCAGCTCCTGCTGTGACCCGCCATAGATCCAAATGAGCCCCTGTCCAGCTGTCACATCACTGTCCCCCTCCCTCCCAGTAGTGACCATCCGAGCCACAGCCCTATATGCAGATTTTCCCTGGTCCAGCCAAGGCAGCAGAGAGGGGATGTGGGAAAGGATAGGGTCCCGGTGCCAGTGTGTTCCCGTGGATGGTGGCAGGGACAGTGGCAAGGAGCTGGTGTTCCTGGCCGGCACACCCAGAGCACGGTGGAGAGGCCGGGCAGCTCATTACCTGTGAGGTGGAGGCTGTTCCCGGCAGGAGACAGGACTCTCAGCAGGATGAAAGCCAAACTCCAGCCCAGCCCAGACCTCTCCGCCGTGTGCCCCGAGCTCCAGGCGTGTTTCCCTGACCTGCCTTCATTTCCATAAATACTTAGCAACGGGGAGATTTACTTAAAAACAAAAAAACAAGGAGTAAAAACTACCCACCCCTACCAAAACAAGGCACTCCTCGCACACGCGTCCCCCCCAGGGAGGGGGCAGGAACAGGCAGCGCGTGTCAGGCGTGAAGCCGGGTGGCCGGGCAGGGCTGGCATCGTGGGATGGGACCTTACACAGGGCCACATATTCCCTGGGCTCCCCCCGAGTCCTGGAACGTGGCCCTGGGTGGGGGGATCAGCCTGTGACAGTCTTTGCAAGCCCCAGCCCAGCTCCCAGTGGAGCTTGGGTGTCCCCATGGGAAGGGGATTTATTTGCTGGAGCCTGTGTGAGCGTGTGGGCATGGGGGCACGCAACCCGGCAGGGAAACCCTGTCGGGATGGAGCAGAGGATGGTATAAACTGCCTCTTTCCATGCTGGTGTGGGGATGTGGATCTACTTCACGCCCCTGGAGATTGCCGGGCACAAGCCGTTTCCTTTGACACGGCCACAGCAGCATCCCTTGCAGGGATGGGGGACCTAGGGGCACCCCAGCACGCAGCCTGGGGGCTCAGCAGCATCGCCCAGGGAGTCCAAGATCCTCCTTGCCCCCACACTGGCCTCTGGCCTTGGCACGAGCTGCACTCCCCAGCTAGCCCAAGCCACAGCCGTAGCCCATCCCATGCACCCTGGCCCTCGTGGGGGGTGGACGTGTGGCACTGGCCTCACTGCGGCCTCCCCAAACCACAAGTCAGGGCTGTGAACATAGAATCATCATAGAATCATAGAATGGTTTAGGTTGGAAAAGGACCTTGAAGATCATCGAGTTCCAACCCCCCTGCCATCGGCAGGGACACCTCCAACTAGACCAGGTTGCCCAAGGCCACATCCAGCCTGGCCTTGAACACCTCCAGGAATGGGGCCTCAACCTCCCTGAGCAATCTGTTCCAGTGCCTTACAACCCTCACAGTGAAAAACTTCTTCCTAATGTTTAATCTAAACCTGCCCCCTTCCAGTTTATAGCCATTCCCCCTCATCCTATCGCTACATGCCCTAGTAAAAAGTCCTTCCCCAGCTCTCCTGTAGGCCCCCTTTACTGGAAGGCGGCAATAAGATCTCCCCGGAGCCTTCTCTTCTCCAGGCTGAACAGCCCCAACTCTCTCAGTCTCTCCTCACAGGAGAGGTGCTCCAGCCCTCCAGTCATCCTTGTGGCTCTCCTCTGGACATGCTCCAGCAGGTCCATGTCTTTCTTATGTTGGGGACTCCAGAGCTGGATGCAACATCTTCAATCCCTGCTTGAAATTCGGATGATGGTGGCAGGCAGCACCTCAGCCACCTGGCATTGTGTCCGGGGCTCCTGCAAGAAAGCAGCCAAGAGCTGAAAGCGGAGCTGCTCCCGGGACTCCCGGAGCTGGGGCTTTACTGGAGGAAAGCCCTGGGGAGGGGAAAGCATCCCTCCCACCCGCCCCACTTGCAGTGCTCCTGGCTGGTGAGGTGTGGGGGAGACCCCTGCACTAGGGTGTCCCAGTAAGGCTGCAAAGATGCAGCCACACCGGCTTTACACTGGGGTCCATGGTCAGGTTGATGCTGCTGGAGCGAAGCAGCAGTGGAAGGTGAGATCCAGGCTCCTTCTGGTCAGGTAGCTCATCCTCTCCTTTAGGTGCCGATCCCTTGCTGGGGTGTAAAAGCCAGTTGGTACTGCCAGGATGGGAATGGACAGGCTGTGGGACATAGGTGACACTGGGCAGAGCAACCCTGGCTTTGCAGCTCCAGGGCTCTGATGGCTGTTCACGCCAGCCTGTGCTGTTCCCATAGTGCCAACCCGCAGAGAGCTCCACGATGGCTTCTCCGGTCCCCAAAAAACATCTCCTCCATGCTCACCCCTCTGTCCTTCCCTCCCCCGCCCAGGTGGTGATGGACAACATGAGGAGGAAGTGCAAATGCCACGGCACCTCAGGGAGCTGCCAGCTGAAGACGTGCTGGCAGGTGACGCCTGAGTTTCGCCTGGTGGGGTCCCTGCTCAAGGACCGCTTCTACGGGGCCACCCTCATCCGGCCCCACAACCGCAACGCCGGGCAGCTGGAGCCGGGCCACGCTCGGCATCGCCGCCGGGCCGCCACCA